ATTCAGTGGAATTAGCTCAGACAGACGCTGTAACTTTGTCATTTCGGATCCTCGTAATTATACTCTTCACGTGATTGACTGGCAAGGGAAATTCCTCTTTTATGCCATGCCTGGGGAGATTGTAGCTCCAATGGCGATTGGTGTTGATGAAAAAGATAGAATTTGGGTTTCCGAAGCCCGTGGCTCGATCAAGGTGTTGACCTACATGGATTTTAACCTGGGATAGTATATTCAAATGTTGAATCAACATGGGGGATAAATCTCCTCCTTATTATATGTGTGAAAGCAATTTTTTACTTAAAACATACATACAGAAGCATTTTGTGGAGATAGTGAGCATAGTAGATGTGACTACAGATCATCTAAGAATTTTCAAAATCCAGTTGAATTTGATAGAAAGACTATAATTGTTTTGTAATTCTTGTTCAATGTTGTTGATGTTCGAAAACTTATAAAAAAATTTCAAACTTTTTTTTTAAAGTGGAAGGTGCAATTTCGGTTAGTAAATGTAAAAAAAAACTCTATAGACAATAGAAAATAAATTCCTTTACTGCTAGGTAATAAATGTTAAGGTATACATGCAGAAAGTCATTTATCCTTCATAAATAAAATATATGTAAAATAATGATGAAATTTTCTTTATACTAATTACTTCCGATGACACCTTTCACATCTGTACGTTTTCACCTGCTGGGTAAAGCTCATGAGCTGCAGAGCAGTTGTTGTGGTCTTTTCTAGCATCGTTACTGTTGACAATACCCTGCTCTTTGTGCCTGTCGGGAAACCAGTGCATTCGTATCACAATTATATGTACAAAGATGTACACGGTTTTAACCAAATAATGTATTAATTTTGCGAATTTCTTCTTAAAAATTATTTATAAAACATTTCATTGAAAAAAAAATATAACTCTCAGATAAAACAAATTCGCAAGGAAGTACATTTATTGAATTTTTTTTGTCAAAGTTATAAGATCTTTCGAAAAATGGCGTCCCCTTTTGAGGTCCTTTTAAAAAATAATCAAATTTGAGGTTGAAATGCCACTGTTACCGATAAGTATTTTTTTTGTTTTATACATTTCTATCTACATTGTAAAATTTTCAGCTTGATATGTACAATTAAATTAAAACATAAAATATAAATACATGTACTATGTATTATACGGAAGCCTAAAAAGCTCTACACTTGTTGTGTTATAACTGTATAAAGTCATATTTTATCGCCTTATCAAAATCTTCAGTGTAAAAACTCCTTATTTATACACATGTTTTGAATTGTATTAAGATGTTTTATATAATTAAAAACAACCTCTTTTGTTTAATAGATTTTATTGCTCTAAGTTTTATCGACTTAAATATTATATTTATTTTCAGATATAGATCGAAACATGATATTTAATCATAAAAATATGATAGTATTTTCGATATTTAAAAATAAATATATTATAGTTCTATAGATATAAATATATGAATATTATCGAGAAAGAAATCAGAAAATAGTGTGTTTGAATTAACTTCGCAAGGGTGGGAATTCTAATGAATCTTCACTCCACTTGGGATTCAGTGAAATCTTATTCACTATCTATTGCTATCGAGTAAGAATGTAGGCTGAAACATGAAACAGGGAGATGGAGAGACATCATCAGTTAGATTCAAAGGGAGGGGGATATTGTACCGATCACCACTTTTAATGAGGGGGAGGCAAGAGTATCTTTGTGCCCCTCATCCGGCTTTAAAAATAAATGAGTATGGTAGAGATTCTCTAATATATTCCCAAAATAATGAAGAATTCTTGCAGTTAGATTATTAACTCTATGTTACTAAAATGATATAAAATAATTTGTGATTTCAGCGAATAAGTGTAAGCTTAATCACAAAGTTAAAGGGGAAAAGTGTGATGTCAGCCAAATAAAATGTATGACAAGAAAAAAAATAGAGTTTCGATCGGTACATGTACCTTAAAATCAATTTAATATTTAAGACGATAAAACTTAAAGCAATAAAATCTATTGAACCAATGAAGTTGCCTTTAATTCTGGAAATAAAAATCTTAAAGAAAATACGGTCACTTCTCAATGGCATCTGATCCCACCTCTGATATGTTGGAGGTCCGTGTTTGCTCTGTTCCTATTCTGTATATCGTCTTATGAACTTTTTATCTTGAATGGTATTATCTCTATTTCTTAAATTATTGAATAATTCCTATCTTTCTGATTGGCTGAGATCCAACTATGTTGAAAAAATACTACGTTGTATTGACCTGCACGTGACGCTTCAGGTGAATACAAGGATTAATTTCCTCTACATTGATATAAAAATAGATCGGGAAATTCCAAATTGATACAAATTGTTTTGGAAAGCTATATAACGACTATGACTTTTTTCATGTGAACAAAACATAAGCAAATATATATTTTCGGGTGAGGATGGTAAAGGGGGATGCAGGGACCCCCTCCAACACTTTTATTCAACAACAATTTTTACTTTTTTCGGCTGTCAGTTTTCCCTGATAAATTAACTCCTTCCTTTCAAAATATATCCTATAAAAAAGATTAACATTATATCTTTTTTCATGGAAACTTAAATAGATAAAAACATTTCAAATTGATACGACTGGTAAGGTTTATTTACATGTTGATTCTGCTTCTCTCTTGCAATTTGCTAGGACTAAATTAAATGCAAACAAGTAACGAGCTGTATTACTTTATTAGTGAATCATATAATAAATCAATTATTGCTGTTTTTTCGGTCAATTCAATGATTTGGATATCTTTGAAGTTTTATTTACATGTTGATTCTGCTTCTCTCTTGCAATTTGCTAGGACTAAATTAAATGCAAACAAGTAACGAGCTGTATTACTTTATTAGTGAATCATATAATAAATCAATTATTGGTTTTTCGGTGATTTGGATATCTTTGAATATTGCCCTTCGGGTTCGGTGAATATTGTACTCCTCGGATGGCTAAATCATTGTATTGACCTAAAAAAAAATCAGCGATAATTGTATAATGTTTCATGTGTATATATAAGGGGTATTACACTTTATATGTAAATAAGACGATAAAATATAAGACCATATACAAAGTTAAAACACAAGTGAAGGAGTCGCCCGCACGGTGTAGCACTGGTTAAATTAGAGCGTCTGCTCTAGTGTCGCAAGGTAAGGAGTTGATCCTTACATCGAGGGTTCGAATCCAACTGTGGGACGTGGAGACCGGTCCTTCGGATGAGACAGTATAAATCGAGGTCCCGTGTCGCAGTAGGTGCTGGCACGATAAAGATCCCTCCCTGCTCAATGGTCCTGAGTGCCGAGTATTGGACAAATATTGCAGCTCTCCCCGGCAATGGTGGCGTGAGTGAAAAATTCTCGAGTGGGACGTTAAACAACATATAATCAATCAACTAGCGAAGAGCCCTCTAGGCTTCCGTACTTTTGTGTTCGCATAAGTAGGGAGTTACAATTACTAGTATTTATATGTGGTACATTACATCATCGATATGTACTGCAGATCACTTAATTTTGGCGACACCTTATTTTCGCGAGATGGACATTGACTATACCAAAATTTTCACAAATTAATTGCTGATTATAAAGCAGAGAAATTTTCGAGCATCTCGCGAATAAAAAGTGATTTACAGTATAGCAACATAACTGATTATAAAGCAGAGAAGTCGATTTTTCTGCACACTAAAAAGGAACAAAAGAAAATATCAGCTGATAAGAACTTATCAAACTAGGAAAAAGATATCTAGATCTGTAATAAATACACATTCAAGCATCTGATCATTATTCGTCGGCATATTGAATGACTTTTCCCCCTTAAAAAAGCTTCATCTCTTACAACTTTTTAATAGAAAAGTTTTGTACAGTCAAAGAATAGTTTTTCTTACAAAGACTATGACAGTTCGTTCTTTTCCAAGTCCATCCTTAAAAAAATGTTTGTTTGGAATTGCCGCCTGGAGGGGTTCTGACAAAAGAGGGAGGGAGGAAATTATTTTTATTTTCGAAATTGAAGAATGTTTTTTTAATTATTGATAAAAATCTCAATAAACAGAAAGAAACATTTTCTAACCTTTTGAAAAAAAGTATCTTTACCATCAACAAAGAATACTGATTTTGCACAGATCTGACACTACAATATGTATTTTGTGTAGTACATGTATATGTGATAACAGACAAAGAAAAAAACCCTTCTTTCTTTTGGTCAATAATATTTTTTTCAGGAGGGGGGGGGCATTTCAATGAGGCGGGAGGCAATTCCAAACAAACAATAAATTTATTTCGGCTCAAGTATCCTACTAGAAAGTGAATTTTTTGCATAGGTATAGTATAGAGCTTTATAAAGCCAGCAAATTGATGATCATTGCTTAGCATTATCATCTTTCTATAATATTAAATGAATTTTATAGCCGTATCAATCCTTCTTTTATATACGCACATTTGTAATACATACAATATCAACCTGTCTCAATACGATACTGATATGCATGGACGCTTTTTGCGCATTACTATAGGAGAGGTACAATCTTGAAACTCACGTATTTGCAAGGGAAATGACGGAATCAACCCAACACCTCTTCTGAAAATAAAAAAAAAAATTAAATCGATTATGTCGATATGGTGAATTTGGGAAATAATTTCCGAGGCCTCTATAAAAAGAAGAGAAAAACTTAGTCTTTAGTTATTTGTTGAAAAATCATCAGGTCAAGTATTTCTAAGAAAGTGGGAATTTCATATCTCAAATGTAGAACCAGGAAGAGAAAAGAATTTTTTTCAAAAATATAATTTAAAAAAACCAGAAATCAGTTTTGAAACACATACAAAGAAAAAGAAGAGAGATACAAATGTCTCAATAATGTAAACAATAGCAGACACGTGCAGTCAAATCACAACACTGACCTCAACATCAAATGTCGTGTTACTTATTTTCCTGTCTCGCGCAGCTCTCGTGCACGCATACTAAACCACAACATTCATATTCCTAGCACATTCCGTACTTTAACTTCCTGCCCTGATTTCCTGTACTACAACAGCGGCATTTTATATATTTATTTCCCCATGTATACCATTGTTTGAATGTGTTGATTCCTCGGACTATTTTGTTGTGTATGTCGGTGTTCCCTATGACATCTGGTGTGTGACAGTGGCTGCCCGCGGGTCCACTTCAGATGCAGCTGGCTAACTGATCCTGGTTGATAATTATGCATATTTATTGTCTATACGGTTGATATATAAACCTGTGGTACAATTACGCACTATATTCACAAACAATCAAACTTCAAAGCTGTTCGGTGTCTGAGAGAGATCAAGTACTTGATGTTCAACCATTTAAGGCATATATGTGTTGGTGTGAGGAAATATAATGCTTAAATTCGCTTATGGTCACCAGAATCACCCTAGTGGTTCGAGATCAGCGTCATTCGGTGACATTACCGAGACGTTTCCCCCACGGACAGTGCTTATTGCTTTAGATGGCAGCGATGACTCTAAATTTGCATTTTATTGTGAGTACAAATCAAACGTTCTTCTTCATTTCTAAATTTTGCCTCAATTTATTTGTGTTGAAATCATTGCTTAAGTAAGTAAAAGAAAAAAAAAATTGTTAGAGAAATTTAAATGCACAGGCATGTGTGTATATGATTGTAAATTGCTTCAATACGTCGACTAAACCCCGTAATCTACACCTGTAAACAAGGTGATACTATATTTTAGGACGTGTATTACACTTTGTTTAAATTTTGTTTAAATAACACTATTTTTCTTTCTAGGGTATACTCAGAATATATACAGACCGGGTGATCGAGTTGTTTTAGTGTATGCAGTTGAATTCCATTCTGAACTTAAGACAAAGTGGCTTTATTGTAAGTATATTAAATCAGTAATGGTATACTGGCTATGTAGAATTCAGTATACGTTAAAATCATAATGCTGAACTCAATTTAAAACTTTCATGAGCATTTATTTTTCCAAGTCTACTGTCTTGCATTAAATTGACGAAATTTACATAATTATGTAGCTCGCTATCTTTGGATTTCACACATATTGAAACAATTTAATAATGGTCAATAGGGGAAAAGTGAAAGAACATGATTATATATTTTTCTGACACTTGTTTTATTTCTTTGGGGAATTAAAAAACTTTCCCAAATTTTATTTCCATTATATTCTCTTTGCTTCAAAAGCATTTGTACATATATCTAGTTTTTTTTCATTGTCCTTGTTCTCTTAGTTTGATCAAAGGATTCTAAAGAAACAATGATGGCTTTTAAGAATGTCATAAAATTTTATTACATTATCAGTACACATGTACAGCGGGGTCTTTTTAGGTTGTTAGTCTACTTGTGCGGGGATTCCTATGATAGTCTTTTGGTTTCACTTTCTGAATAGTTTTCAGTCAGTGTTACGTATATTTTTTGTTTCTTTTTGAAAAAAAAGTAATTGATATCATTGTCAAATTTTTGGTCGATGGTATAAATATTATCAACGGTGAGTATTAGTTTGAATACCAAGACTGGTTTATATCGTATCTTCATTAAATATTTTCAATTTCTGAAGAGTCGTTGATATCCGTGATATTGATAAACTAACCATGTTAGACTGAATGCGTACGAGTAAATAAAAGGAGCCTTCCTACATACTATTAGGTTTTTTATTATTAAAATTTTCATTAGGAGGAAAGAAGGCTACAGAATATCAATTTGACTTACGGACCTTCGTTAACTGTTAACCAATTAATTGAATGAATCCTCTAAGCACACATTTCTATAAATTGTGAGTCATTTAACACGGCCAAGATGAAAAACAATGCAATAAAATAACTGTTGTAAAACATCCGTAATCAATATTTTATTATTGTTCATAGTTGATGTCTATATAATGCGTATGGTAGTAACTCCGCATTTATCTGTGTACAGAGAATACGTAGCATTAATTTCTTCACAGCTGGCATCGAGTGTTCTACAATGGCAATAAAGGTTCATGCATGTTCCGGACTGAGTGCAATACACGATAATTATGTCCCGCATTTGTCATAAATTCAATTATTAAAAGAGTTAGAAGTACAGAGTTCGCTGAATCAAGTGTATACGTTATTGATTTAGCAAAGGAAATATTTTGGTTATTAGCTTTTTATATTGACTAATATTTAATATTGATTTGATGTTTAAGAAAAAATCATTTTGAATATTCGAATAATCCCTTATACTCTTCTGAAACAGTGAAATTAAAAGTATAAATAATTGTTAATTTTCATATATAAGCCTTAGGTTTAACAATCAAATTCGTAGAACAAAGGCTATAATAGTTCTCTAAATAATGACAAACTGCTAAATGTAAAACGATAAAATATGGCGATAACGAACAGTTAACAAGCTTTAAAGTCCATCGAAATATTATAAATCGGGGGGCAGTGGAAAACAGACCTCTACAGACATCAAAGTTTGAATTAGGTGCCATGGAGGAGTAAGCAACACCTGTTGAGCTGTGATATTTGCTATGTGCTTCTTTTCATGATCCCGAATCATAAAATCTCTTGACAATTCAGTGTGTTAAAAAGGATCGATCAATTATAAAAAAAAAATATCAATATTTAACCATTCTTTTTTGACAAAAAAAAGTCATTGTCCGCGTTTTTATGAAAAAAGATTTTTTTTTTTACATTGATTTGGTATATGCCAATTTCTTTATTTTAAAATTTAATTTTATTAACATATAAGTATGAACAGGATGTTTTTGTTTACGGTTACTGAGGTTTCCTGGTTTAAATTTATCGATGTCGTCACTATATTACCTATGGGTTTTGACCCTTGCAATAAGTTATTCCACACTTAAATGTACGGGTCATCAGCAAAAACGTTCTCAACCCTGAAACCAACCCAATTAAGGACTTAAAATAAGTGTTCCTCAATGGGTTTAAAATTGTTTTGCAAGATGGCCTTTCCTTGAATACTATTACATCCAGTCTAAATCTTGATACATTTTTCAGGCGAAATCACTGAACAATAATTATGCAAAAGTTTTAATACATAGCTAATATGATAATATTTGAAAGACAAATGTATATGTGCCTTTATAATAAGATACGCTTGAATAAATGTACATTATATAAAGTTTGAAGAAAATTAATAAAGCTTTTCCCAATACTCATTAGGATATGAAAACTAAATCTATGTTAATTATATTTGGGGATTTTGTTTACCCCCATTTTAATGTTGCCAATGATTTTAAAATGAGGCGGGTTATAAAAATAAGATTATTCTCCTTCACACAACTGTGTTAAATATTTACTACTGTTCTGTCTTTTTTGACAAATTTTGAATTTAAACATTTTTGCTTTAGCTTTTACTAAAAATGAAGAAGAGAAAGTTGGTGAAAGCATGGAAAAGGAAAGATCTAGACACAAAGAAGTTATGAAAAACTTTTCACAGATGCTAGTTAATGCCAAGGTAAGCAATCTGTGTATTGTCATTCCCCCACTGTGGTTCGATTCCCTGCAGTGCAAAGCACTTGTGGTCCTGTACCTAAAAGAGAAACATGTATTTCGCATTGTCTTTATCAAACATAATTAAAGCAGAAAAAATGCCAGTTTAGTACTTTCCATATCCTGGATTAACTTTTTAAAAGTAATGGGTTTTCTTATACATGTAAATAGATATTCAATGTTCCACTTTTTTTTTTGGCAATATATATAACAGCATATCATTAAAGCTAAAACATGTACTATAAAATTGCACGCTATATTGCATAGTATGTTATAAATAAATAAACCTCTACCGCATTTACTTGGCTTCTAGTGAAATATTATTGTACATGATAATATATGTAACAGTCATCAGTTCATCCTAGCAAATGAAAAAATGAAGTATTCATCTTCTGTGTTATTTAGACAAAGATTTTTTTGTGAAACTTTTTGAAAAAATATTCCAACTGGTGCAAATTATTTCAACTACAAAATTATAATTCTGTAAAATTGTTTCAATACATGTAGGCTATCTCTCCTAAAATATTTATTTGATTTTAGAAAAACGTAATTCACAAGTATCCTTGCCAACTATTAAGTTTCTAACAATCAAAATGCAATTTATAGTCTAACATTCTACTTTATTTGCTATTTTCGTCTTTCTTTATTTTAATTATTTTCCTGTAGACCAAAATGTATCCACGATTTTTGGTTTGTGGTTATTTTGTAAGGGAAAAGGATTAATAATAATAAATAGTTTAATATATCAATTTATTGATTTTTTTCCTAACTTGGGCTTATAGCACTTAATACATAATATTATGTATGGTTGTATCTCTACACAGGTGTTCTTGTAGATAGATGTATATCTTAATAACTTAAACAATATTTATTTAGATTTCTTTTCCTTGTTATTTCTACTTAGATATTGAAAAAGAGTACAAGGAACGGGGAAATTTAGTTTATAATTGTGTCACTTAATCAAACTGACAAACTATCAACTACGTATAATAAAACAAGCAATTCACAATCCAAGTTATAGACGGCTTAACTATAAACCTCTCCCAATCGAAGTGCAAATTAAATATAATAATTTTCGTAGAACAAATAATATCAACTTTAGATATGTAATTTAGTACATTTTGTCATTTATGTGGGCATAATTAGTGTATGCAATTTCTCGTTATAACTTCTAAATCATTGTTTATCTAATTTTCATAAATAAACATTAAAAGTAATGAATCATGTGTACTGCGCAAAGCTTATGTTAGTCATGGGATTTTTTATGACATTGATTTATGGCGCAATGTGGATATTTTTTTTTGTTTTGCTTAAGTAAAAGATAACTAGAATAAATAGTTACATCAGGAAAGTATCGATAAGGTACTTACCTATTTTCTTTTCACCAGAAGTTTTTTCTATCTATATTAAATCAAACATCTTTATATCTTTAGAACCAAAGATTTACGCAAATAGAGTCATTTCTAGTATAACTAAAACGTTTCCTATAATTTTTCCTTTCTTCTGGATTTTAGAAAAGATTCCCAATATCAAAAGTCCTCCTGTTAATTATATCTTTCAACACTCTACTATTACACATCAAAGACTTGCATTTAAATACAGTGTATATTGGGAGGTATCTGTTGTCAGCAAAATTATGAAAGCTGTTACTCATATTGCAATTAAATAGGATAACAACAGCAACACATTGCTGTAACACAAAGCTATCGGTGATGAAGTTAAATTGGTATTTAATCGTCATTTTCAAAAACTTAAATTTCTTTAAGTTACTAAAATAAAACAAATAAAAATTAAAATAGACATAAAATATATTTATGCAATATATAAAACCCTGAATTGAAGAAGGATTTCCCTGTTATTTCCCGATCATGACAAGGAGCACAAGGCGTGGGTGACCGTTCGGCAGGGGATGTTCACTCCTCCTTGGCACCTGATCACACTTCGGACGTTTTGAGGTCCGTGTTTGCTCTGTTTCTATTTTGTATTGTTTTATGGACTTTCGATATTAAAAACTGTTCGTAGGAGCATCAACCATCTTGATTGCACAATTTATCAGGTCAACAATACCTAGAGTTGAAATCATCTTTAAAATGTATTTACTTTATTGCGTTCATTTCATCCTATGTCAAAAATTTCCTCAATAGCTACAAAATCCTAAGATAGATATCATATACTAGTATATAACTAAAAGATAGCAATGTATATCACGGATAACACAGGCGTCGTACAAACATTTAACAAGAAGGAAATATTAAAAAAAAAACATACTTAATATAACTTTATATACATTTCTTATATATCGGTACTAAAGAAAATTGATGCAAAAAGAAAAAGTATACATGTATAAGCATACAAAGAAGTATAGATATCACATACTGGTGATATGATTTGATACAGACTGCCTCCTAACTACATAAAATATGCATCTTAAATTCAACACCGATTCCTCAACACTTTAGGACATAATAGTTTTTAAAGCCAAATCTATTTTCATGATTGAGTCCAAATTGCCTGGAACAGGCATGATGAATATTATGAATATGAAATAAGAATTTTAAGATTAATCAATATTCCTCCTTTATGCTATTGGAAAAAAATATATATATACCTATGATGAAGATTGTCAATACCTAGTTCCAATATTAATCTCTTCTGTTTGAATTTAGATTTTAGGGGAGGTAAATGCGATTGATTCAAAATCACCAGGTGAAGGAATAGTGTCGGCAGCCAAGGAAATCCACGCCTCCTTCATTGTGACGGGCACCAGAGGACTCAGTAAAGTTAAACGGACTCTGATGGGAAGTGTTAGTGACTTTATACTCAGGCATGCGGCGGTACCTGTTATTATATGTAAATATAATGAAAAGCAAGGTTGTGAAAGCAAAGATGTACATAAATAAAGTTTTACACTATCACCAGATTTTTTTAATCTTTAAGAAATTGTTCTAAGCATATATACCTTATCAAATATATGTTTAACAAAAGATTTATTGTACATTACCGATTACCTGGTGATTTTTTTTAATCAACATGCATTTGTTTTGTGATATAAATATCGTTTAACATACATCAGGGACATACGAGAAGAGAAGTGTAGAATGTGTTTCATAGAAAGGATAAGAATTAATTAATTAATAAAAAAAATATTGTGTTTCAATTGTAATTCATTGTATTTTTAATGCACTTTAAACTTAAAAAAAAAACCAGAAAGTTTCATGTATCTAAATGAGCTTTTAAATGGCCATGAATTGTAAATGTCACAATTTATGATGTAAGAAACCAGCCCTCGACAGACGGATTCGTAGTTATCCAGCCTGGTGGGAGACTTACGATAAATCGCCATAACGTGATATTTATTATTTTTACAATTGTATGTTTGCTTATTGTCCCTATCAAGAATTTTTCACTCATATTGAGTCGTCACTATTTGCCCTAGGAGGACTGCAGAACTTAGAGTTATAATTGAGATTCAGGAGTTTTGAACATGGGGAATACTTTTTTGTACCAACATCAACTGCGACACGGAACATTGATTTATACATTTCAGGTCTAGGTCAACTTTGGACAGAAGATAATTTAAATGATAGATCTTATCTCATTACAAAACAACAACTGTTAGATGTTTCTAGGCAAGCTATATTAGAAAATATATCAAACTCTTCAAAGTGTAATTTATATCAACATTTAATTGACAATTTCTGTTTGCAATGGTATTTAACAAAACCTATTGACAAAAAATTAAGACAGCTATTAACAAAATTCAGGTTATCTAATCACATGTTGAATATTGAAACAGGTCGACACCATAACGTACCTAAAAATGATAGATTATGTACATGTTGTAATCTCCATGATATAGAAGATGAATTTCATTTTATTTTGAAATGTCCATTGTATATTGATATAAGAAAGAAATTTTTGAAAAAGTATTATTATACTAAGCCTTGTGTCTTTAAATTAATTCAGCTGTTAAGTTCCCATAATGTTAAAGATCTCGTAAATTTGGGCAAATTTTTGAACGCAGCAACAATGTTAAGAAAAAATAAAATTGATGTATAGAATTATTCCCATGTATGTGTTCTTTACGTTCACTCTCTCTGTATGTTTTTTTCGTTTTGTTACTATCATGTTTGTTGTATAACTCTGATGGGCCAGTTGGCTTAAAGAAATAAAGAAACTGAAACTGAACTGAAACAGCTCGAGGAACCGTCTTTACATCCCGCAAATAGATTTAAACCCGAAACACAATTTAATTACACATTTCTCATGCATGAAAAAAATACAAAGATTGGTCATTATTCATATTCTGTGCCTCCTGGATTGTATAAAATGTTTAAATATTGCAAACTGGTGTACAAAATCCAGACGGAGTGTTAAATTCAAAACCGGGCAATGGGGCATGATTGTGTCTGTTTTTTATTTTATAATGATACATGTAATTTGAATAATACAAATTAAATTCCTAAAATGTCAACAACAACAAAAACTGCAGATTTTCGTGATGTTTATTTTTTTTAACCTTTTTTGTAATCACCTTCAGGAACTTCTGCAATCCTTATCACTTATTTTGAAATAATGCATGATTGTTAAGAAATTTTAATAAAAAAGGAAACTTTGGAGACTTAACAACTTCATCCATAATAAAGTTCTTTAATATTATGATTTTCGAAAGAAGGTAAGTTTATAGAATGCTTACAAGAAATTGCATCGATATAGAGAATTAAAGGAAGATAACCCCTTAAACATTAACATATATATGTGATGCGAATTACCCTTCTTGTCGACTTAAAAGTTTTAGCATGACAACAAAAGAGGTAATAACCGATGAAAACGATTAAATTGTAAACTAAATCTGTGTATCGATCAATTCCATTATTCCATTTTGGATAAAAATGCCGTTCAGCTATTCATAGATCATGAACCATTCAGGTGTTGAGGAATGATATTAACTTAACATGCTTAATGTTTATGTAAATCTAGACCTAGTTTCCTGAATTTTGATATTCAATATTTCTTAATTTTTGATTGCCTAACATTTATGTCCTTCTCTGTGTCTTCTATCTTATATTCTTACTATCTATTTTAATTTTACACTATAGTTCAAAACAAAGATTTTTGAAATGTTATCGTATAAAAGATTTTTTACTGATAACAATTAATATCACTAAAACGGAATTTCTCTAAATTATCTCACAGTCTTATAATACATATGACGTGTTAACAATCAGTTAAACGTAGTCTTACCATGAACTTTTTAAAAAAGTTTTGGTGGCTTTAAAGGTTCAATAATCGTGCTATTTTCATTAGAAAAACAAAACTCTAAATGGACAAATAACTTAACAGATCATGTAATATAACATGGCAAATGAAATGACACTAAACAAACATGCCCTGTGCAGACCATGTTTATTTTTTAACGAAATAAACCACAAAAAATGTTTTGTTATATAAAGACCTTTAAATTGATCACGTGGTATAAACATAAACGCTTATAAAGTAATGGGTAAGGGTTCAATGATCTGTGTTTGACCTGGAATTCAATTCTCATGCCAGATCGTCATACACATGAACTCGTACTAGCTAGTATTTTGTGTCATTGACTCTTAAAGGAGTCGCTAAGACTTAATGCATTTGTAGATGTGTTTATGTTAGAAAGTGGTGTAAAATAGTGAAATCTGCTGCAGGAGCAGCGATACACGTGTGAAAGAAATTTATTCGAACAGATGGCAGATAAACAAAGAACTGTTGTGGTGGCTATGGATGGAAGTGATCACGCTATAAAGGCGTTCAAATGTGAGTACATTATATGAACTGGAAGATAAAGGTATACAGGTATTGTAAAAACGTCAAAGGAATTCCATTCTGTTGGAATAGAATATTGATTACCATTAACAGTTTCATGGAGGAGAAACTCAGTTTAATGATTACAGAACGTACAAGCTTGTTTTTATTTGCATTGTATAAACTTCATTCTTTCTTTGTATAAATGAACATGGTCATCCTTTTTTGAATGGATGCTTCAGAATATATTACTATTTTCCTTCAAAAATAACAGATACCAACATATATGATTATTACGGAATAATTGATTTGTTTTCTGTGTATATTTTAAAAGATATTTCTTTTGAATGTAGGGAAAACAATCTTATGCACTTTTTTTTTTTTGGGGGGTGAACATTTTTACTCACTCTTGAAAAATTTTGAATATTCTAGTCAATGATTTTAAGCTTTCACAAATAATAAATCTTGTTATTATTAAAATATAATTGTTTTAAGTACAAGTCTTCCGTCATTTGAATTTTACGCTGACAAACGCTCTCTTAGTTTTATATATTAAGATAGTGACTTGACTCATAACAATTTATCTCTGTTATGTCTTACACGGCTTTTAAATGCTTTCCTTCCGACATCAGGACGTCATATATGTTTCCATATTGATGGTATTCGTTTTTGCATTCATAAAACAATGTTTTATTTTTATATGTTTTTAATATGTCGCACGATGTCTCGATTTCTCCATTTGTATACAAATTTTATCCAAATTGACTACCTCGATCATCACATGGATACAAATTGAATAAATTTTGTGAGAAAAAATAAAGATAATCAATTAATAGTTTTTTTTCCCGTGGGTATTTAGCAACGGTCTTTCTTGGAGTGTATGATTTTAAACGATTGTAGAAGGAAATGATTTCTCATCTAATGGAAGTTTATCTGTCGGCTTCCTAAATCATTTTTTACTACTACATCTGAAATTTCTACTACCTTTATAAAGTATCTAACAAGTTTTCCAAAATATCTAACATTAATTTATAAAAAAAATAAAGAATATATTTTACTTAGTGTACACATGTTGCAATATAACTGTCTCCAAATAAAATGGAGAGTACAGAAACAGAAAAATTACTTGTTTTGCAGAAATGTAAAGGGAACTTATAACAATTGTCTGAAATACAACAGTTCTCTTGTTAATCTTATGAAATAATCTATCAAAACGAATCCTGAAATCAGACAGTCTTGGAATAAGACAAACCAATTGTTAATATATTTATAAGACTTTCTCCAAATCAAAATTAAAAACGAACTATTAATAACGGAAAAGATTTAACATTTTATGAAATTTTGAAAATTGAGTTAATGATCAATGACATCACTGTACATTTTCTTACCTCGTACGTCTTAAATGTCACTTTGAACTACAGAAGGTAATTAATTTTTCAGTAAGACAAGGAAGTGGTCAGCGACTTGTATGCTAATTATTTTCTATGGCAACATTGTTTCAAATTTGATGTTGAAAAATTGAAAGACTGAAAATAGAAATGCAACATTAGTGGATGTTAAAAGTGTTGCATATTATCTGATTCTTTTTTATAAGTCATTTAGGTGGTAAACATTTCATTGTTTAATCTTAACAGAAAGTTAATATATATAAAAAAAAAAGCTTATCAAACATTGTATGTATCAAATGATTTAAATTAAAAATTAGTTTTTTTTCACGTCCTTTTTGAAAACTATACAGAAATAAATACATATCATAGTGATGATACAGTAATGATACAGAAAGAAATACATAAACATCTATAACATTAATAATAATAAACATATCAAATTTGAAAATAATACAAGAATTCAGCCTCTTACGATTGAATTGGTGAAGCCTGAGCGTATAGTACAAATAAGTTTATCTCAAATTCTGAGTGTTTGTATTGCAGGGTTCTGTAAATCAATGAAACATGACAATGACAAGGTGGTGATGGTTTACTCAGTTGAGCTGTATGGCGACGTCTACTCAACGCAGTGGCTCAGTGGTAAAACAATTATGTTAAATAGTACTTAGAAAAACTAGACTCAATACTGTGGCTCAGTGGTAAATTATACTGTACCAATTAATTTAAGACTTCCTATGAACTCAATACTGTGGCTCGTTGCTAAAATATGTATTTATGAATCTATTAACACATAAAACTTTACTTGTACATGTCTTAACAAAGGGGCTCCTTTCATAGTAAAATATATCCAACACTCAGATTTACAAAAGTCACCATCATGGCTCGTTAGTTAAATTATTTGTATTAATTATTAATGCAAAGACCTAACAAAGTGATTTAATAGAGATATTCTAGTATACTAAAAGTAAATACTAAAACTCAGTGTATTATGTACTCGTATACAGTTACAAAAACGCCAGCCAGTCAATAATGTACTCAAGATATTAGTTAAAAGCTTAAATATATAGCCTACTTCTGAATCAATATTGATATACATGTATAAGGCCTTCTCAAATGGCAACACAGTGGTAAAATATACTGCTGTGGTAAGTACTAAGGCTTTGGTAGTTAACACAGTGGTTACACCGTTACAATAAACGGTAACAAGAGTTACTCCACATAGTGACAAAATGTTTGATATAGAGTACAACAATAAACACAAGAAATTATACAACACAGAGGCTTAGTGATAATAAGATATAACTTAATATTTTGAGTTACTATACACATATGTATATCTGTTTACTAAAAACATTTGAATGATATTATTTATTATATGATTGAATAATTTCCATCTCTCTGATTGGTTGAGATCCAATTATGTTAGAAAAATACTACGTTGTATTGACCTGCACGTGACGTTCCAGGTCAATACAAGGATTTATTTTCTCTTCATTGATCTGAAATTAGATCGCGATATTCCAAATTGATACAAATTGATTTGGAAAGCTAATTAAACTACTATAACTTTTTTTTTCATGTGAAGAAAACATAATCGAATATATATTTCGGGTGAGGGTGGTAAGAGGGGATGCAGGGACACTCCTCCAACACTTTTATTGAACAACAAATTTTACTTTTTGGTAGTCAGTTTTCCCTGATAATACTCCTTCCTTTAAAAAATCTATCCTAGAAAAAAGACTGACATAATTTTTTTCATGGCAACTAAAATTGATTAAAAAAAACTTAAAAGAAAAAAAATAAATACGACCTGTAAGGTTGATTAACATTTTAATTCTGCTTCTCTCTTAATTGTATTTGGATAGGACTTAATTCAATGCAAACAAGTAATGGGTTTTATCATTTTATTAGTGAATCATATAATAAAACAGTTATTGCTTTTTTTTTCGGTCGTACAATGATTAAGCCATCTTCGAAGTACAATATTCACCTCGCCCTCCGGGCTCGGTGAATATTGTACTCCTCAGATGGCTAAATCATTGTATTGACCTCAAAACACAGCAATAATTGTATAGTATATCGAATATTGTATATACACTAAATGATAAGGATCTCATAATATTTTTCAGTTCCATACTCTGGGCCATCTCTAACAGATATGATAGAAAAACAACGAAAGGAGATCAGAGAAAAGCTCGACGAATTCGCTAAAATGATGAAAAACGAACATGTACGTACTTATTTTCAGAACATGTTTATGTATTTCATATGCGTATATTTCATGTTTATGCAGTATAGCTAATACATTAAAATATAAAAATGAGATATTTCACACCTTTAAAATAGGTTTTATCATCAAAATAATATCTCAATTACTTTTCGGAGGAAATCTAAAGACTTCTGGTATCATATGCGATGCATGTACATAACGATGTATAAGGTATTTTTTCTAAATGTCTTAAGTTGTTGGTCCTTATGTTATTATAGTATAGCCATATCTAGTCTCATGTACATGTATCTAAACACTGAACACTTTGATTCATAACAATATTTCAATAGTCTACATTTGGGCATTAACTCATTTGGTATAAGCATTTATGTTGATGTTTATCATTTCATTGAAACTTTGGAGAATCTTCGTTTATTCTATCTAGCAGTGAACATTTATTATTTTTTTTACTTTTTGATAAACTATCATTCGTAAAGCAGATTTATGCTCTAAAAATACTGTAGATCACTATATTTTCGCGACACCTTATTTTCGCGAGATAGTCATTGACTCTTGATTAGCGAGACAAAATTTTCACGAATTGTGGTTATTGCTCTATATAATCTTAAGGAATGCTATTATACGCGAGAATTAAATTTTCGCGAGCACACTGTCTCGCATAATTACGCGAAAATAAAGTTCTCGCGAATAAAAAGTGATTTACAGTATTCTCAAAACAAGTTAAAGTGTTTAAAAAAGTACAATTGTATGCCTTTCAGTGTTGCTGGTCACGTTTTTGTTTTATGTTTTAGATTTCATCGTATAACAGGTATAACTTACATTTTCTTCCATAGGTGCCAGGGACCGTAAAAAGTGTTAATTCGGAAGATCCAGGAGAAGGAATCATCAAAGCTGCCGAGGAGGTCAAAGCGGACATGATTGTGGTCGGGTCACGTGGTCTTGGTGCCGTGAGAAGGACTATTTTAGGCAGTGTTAGTGACTATGTTTTACAACATTCCTCAATACCAGTGATTGTTTGTCCTGAGCAATCCTGATAGTTCTTACAAAGTCGTCCCTGATATTGCAAATTGGCATATGTACAAACTGTGTTAGAAAAGCAGTCTCAGATAAGTTTTGTTTGAAAACTTTGAATGAGTATTTATGCTTGTGTTTGTTGATGATGAAAATGAGATTAGAAATTGCATTGAATACCATCTCACTCAATAATTCAAAGACTTTTCATTACATATAATATACAAATAAATGTTTAAATATTTTTTTGGTTTTCTTTTTGTGTTTAAAATATTTCAGTCCAATCTCAAACTAAATGGAATAATTTATTATTCTTTTAATCACTCTCAAAATATTAATTTTCAAAGTCTATAGGTGGGTTAGTTTTAATATACTTAGCATAAGATTGGGCGAAATGACTCACATTCCCTATATACTGTAAATGGCTTCAGCTTACAGTATTGGGGTTTCATTGTCTTGTAATAATTGAAAGTTGCATTCAGTATTAAAAGTTCTCATGAAAGATGCTATGAGTTGAAAGTACAATTATTCTAATTTGTTAAACCCTATTTTGAAATTTAACCAATTTTGACTTTAGAAAAACTTAATTTGTTGAACTTCAGAGCCAACTTTGACTTTAGAAAAACTTAAAATGATGTATCAGATAAAGGTTATTCAAGTACTTTTTATAAGGCATACTCTCGTATACATTCCAGAATTACGGTTTTTAGCTAAGTGGCACGAAGTAGAGATGAGCTTAATGCTATACCTCCGGCATTCGCTTCGGCGTCCCTGTTAAAGTTTTAGGAGAAAATACATTCCAGAGTAACCATAAGCTTTGCTGCACCAAACCTGCAGGGATGATGTATCTAGATTATGGGTATTTCCAAACTTACTTCGGGTGCTGAATCTGGTCTACATTTTGCAGATGAATGACCACGTTAAAGTTTTCAGAACAGGCCCATTCCTAAGCAACTTAAGGTGCTTACTGGATCAAACGTGCATGGATGCTGCATTTAGATATGGGTGGACACTATCACACTAACTTCAGGTAATGGATCTGACTTACATTTTCGAGATAGGTGATCAGGGTGATATTTTCGAGCAGTTCTTTGATTATTTATCATATAAATAAACTTACATCGATGATGCAGAGAAGAATGGCTGCTTCTAGACTTGCTTCAGATATTGAAACTGACGGACATTTTTGATTGATGTAAATATGTTCAGGTTAAAGTATTTGGAGCAAATCCGTTTCCAAGTAACTTGAACTCCTATCTAAACCAAACTTATATGGATATTGATCTCTTGATGCACTCTAACAAGAAAAATATGATGAGAGATTAATTTGTCAAGTACTTAGGAAAGATAACATTTGTCGAGAGGTGAGCTTTGTAATATTTGTTTACTTATGTTTAAAAATATATTTGCTCTTAAGCTTCTGTCAAGTACTAACTTAAATAAAGTTAATAAAAACTACCAGTCTGAGTATTGAATATAACTTAAACGATAGTAAATATATTAAGAAAATCTTTTAAATATTGTGAATATACCAAATAAATATAATTTTGAATATCATTTTTTGTTTACAATCGTTAGATCGAATGTTAACTAAGTTTTTTCAAGAAAATGGTGTACTATTATGAATTACGCTGTTTACCTGATCAAGCGATTTAGATTGGTGTGACTGGTCCACAAGGGATACTTCCTCCGTATTGGCATCTGATTCCACGTCTAATGTTTGTCATCTGCTTTAAGTATGTGTTTTGTTTTTAATTAAATAAATAAATCTTGATTATAAGCCCATATATCTCAAGTTTACTTATCATCCGGACAAATGGAAATTGATGGATGAATTGCATATGGTTAAAGTATACACATGTATGTGTAAGTATTGGTGTTGAGGCCGATTTTTCGTGGACATTCTAGAAACTTTCCCTCCATTATATGTGAACCTTTTTGCTTGTCGTGTTCATAAATTCCCAACATATTGTCGATAACCTTGAGATAACATGAATATCATATCAGCATCTTTTACATTGGACAAATTACGCATTTAGACACAAGCATGAGCATAAATGCAATCATGAAAGGCATATAATGTATGCGATGAATGAAAGAGGCGCAGTTTACTTTGCATCGTTAACAGCCAACTACGACTAAATGGTACTTTGTATCTTAGGTTGAGGAGTATCAATGTTTCAAAGGTGCATTATTCACAAAGCAAAACAATAATAAATACGTCTGACTGTTTGATAGAAATGCCTTTTGTTTATTAATTGTGTAATATTTCTTGATCATATTTCTTAGGGCTGACAAGTTGCTATCGACTACAGTTACATTTTAACCTCCTGTTTTTATTTTTAGTAAAAATGTAGGAATATAGACCAGTAATTCACTTAAAAGTTATAATTAAATTCTGTATTGGTTAATTAACAAAACTAAATCTTTTTAATTGAATGCATGAACATCAAATTGATAATGATTGAAAACCAATCAGTTAGGGTATGAACATGTATTCCTATTTTCTATAATCTCTTTTAAAGTTCTATTTTTTCAGTCCTTATGCACGCATTGAAAAAATGATGTTCGTTTTCTTTATCATATGAATGATCGACCTCCAGCAAATACATGTACTGGGGTTGAGGAAGTAGATTACATGTAACTATGACGTTTTTGTATTATTATAAATTCATTTGAATTTATTAATTCATAAATTACATAAATTCGAAATCAGTTCGTAAATAATTATCACTGAAACAAAATAAGAGCCACGTTGACCCTCTCTTCTAATTTAAAAAGTTACAAATTCCCCCCTATTAAATAGCTAGATCCGCCCCCGTTTCAGCACATACCAAAAAAAAGTAGTCTGGCGTATATCCGTGCACACATGGTATAGTGAATATACGTCTGCTTGTGTCATTACAAAGCAAGAGCTGTACACCAACTTAACAGTGCAGTATTAATTAGTGCGATTCCAATCCAGAATGACTGACGGTGGACGTACAGTGATAATAGGAATGGACGGTAGTGTCCAAGCAGTAAACGCATTCAAGTGTAAGTTTCAACAAATTTTTATGTCAATCAATAAACACTTGAAAAGGGACAAAACTTGTGGATTTCTTTCTCAAATGTAAACAATTCCTCACTATCAAGCAGTCGTTAATTATATTAATAATTCCTTGAAAATGAAACTGCATTTTTATGCATTTTTAGTTGATATTGACAATTTTACCTCGAAAGTATAGAGAAAAACATAAATTCATTATTTTATGTAATTTTCTTCATTTTTTCTTCAATTTTTCATGCCATTTTTGCATGCATACATACAGTTAGTTAAATATACATTTTTTAATTCAAAAACGATATATGCAGTTAATACCTGTGTCAAAATGTCAAAATATATACCTAGTATATTGACTTAGTGAACACGATCCTTCAAGGCTAATGATGGGTGTGCAGTTACGTACTGCGTTGAATTTTATACGAAATAACCTATATATACATGTATACTTCAGCCCTTGCATTATCTTTTAAAAAGCAACACTACCTTCGATAATACACCATTCATAGTAGATAACTAGTCCGTGATGATTGAATTGTATGTATATGTATACTCAAGTATACGCATAATCATATGTTATATTATATGCTGTAACTAATAAAGTACATTGTTTAATACTATATACACTTGTATGTATGTTTGAAAATATAATATAACTATGTATATATTTAAATGCACCCCTTTCCCACGGTAAACTCTGTTTCAGCCCTCTAGCAATATCATCCCTAGATTCTTCGGTCCTTCTAAGGGCTTACTGTAGATTCCTTATTATACACAAAGAGTTAATTTCGCGAGAAGCATCACTCGCGAAAAAATATTTACTCGCTTTTATTTTTATGGTGCTGAAATCTATGTAAATTCTGTTGATCAACCGTACATTCGCGAATTATAATTCTCGCGATTTGACGTGAAAGACCCAGTTCGCGATAAAAAGTACTCGCGAAAAATAAGGAATCTACAGTATATTGATGTCTTGGGCTGAAACAGGATACGATATATAGAAAAATGTATTATATCCTTTTCTTCTTATAATTCATAAAACACATGACTGTGAACATAATCATTAAACAGCTTCATGCGTGAATGTACAGTCATGTACTTCAGCAATAAGTGTATGCAATTATGTATACATGTAACTGGCATATTACCTCAAAATTATGTTCCTCTCTGATTAAATGTGTCGAACCATATGTTCATTCGATTTTTTTGTAGGCGAAATGATACATACTTGTACACATATGGTTCATAGAAAAAGAGGATAAGGGTTTATAGATAACAATGTATCATAGATTTCGTATAAAAGTTTTGTGAGTAAAACTTGAATTTGAATTAATTTTTGTTTTCTAGGGTTTTGTCACTTTATGAAGCGGGACACAGACAAAGTAGTAATGGTTTACTCCGTAGAAATAACAGACACAATGACACCCAAACAATGGCTACACGGTGAGGGAGCTGAGAGTGAAATTAACTATATGTACTCAGTTTGATTGAAGAAACAATGATAATGTACATTACAACATTAATTTTTCTTTGAAACATATTTAATTTACCAATAATTGCATCTTATTTTTAATGTTATCATTTTTGAGTGATGAAAATTCCAAACATTGATGATTAATACATGTACACGTACATTACATGTACATGTACATATATTGATCATCTTATTAACGCTATAGTCTGTATATGTTAATTTACATATATAGGAGTTAAATATTTTATTTCCTTAAAGTTCCAATATTTATTTTCCAGTACCTTCTTCCGAAGAAGAGATGAAAGCGACTATAGATAAAAACATGGAAAAAGTCAAGAATAAATTGTCCGAATTCGCAAAACTTATGGAAAGTGAACATGTATGTTAAATCTCTCTCTCTCTCTCTCTCTCTCTCTGGATACCAACAGATATACGTATTTATCAAGACCTTTACTTGTTTTGTGCCCAATGCCATACAACGAAACATCACATAAAATTTGCTGTATTCTTTCCTTACTTTGAGAAAAAACTGACGAGTAAAATGAGAGGCTAATATATAAATATACTGTCTAATAGGAGCACTTTGTATCAGTCTGTCATAATAATTATTAAATTTTCTGCACTTGATGTATATTTACATAGATAAACAATTAATACATGCATGTATTACGTTTCTTTGACGAATTCTAAGTAGACTGTTCTCTTACCACAGGCAACCGGCACAGTGAGAACTGCCCAATCAGAGAGCCCAGGAGATGGGATAGTCAAAACAGCAAAAGATTTGAATGCTGACGTCATAATCATGGGAAGTAGAGGGCTGGGAACTATCAGACGAACAGTTCTCGGAAGTGTCAGTGACTATGTGGTTCATCATGCAAATGTACCTGTTATAGTGTGTCCGCCAGGCACTTCTTAAATTCTATTGGTCGATCAAATCCCTTTGACTGTGACGTATGCAGTCAGCATTTAAATCAACCAATTATATTTGTTCATTTGAATTGAGGGGTACGTTTACAGGGGTATTTCCATCGGGATGATATTGTGCATACAAAATTGACTGTACATGGTTGGTTCCATTCTGCTTTTAAATGGTATTCTTTGCATCATTGCTGTTTTATTGGAATCTAATTAATGGGTTGTTGATAACATTGTTGTAATGAAATAAAGAGAGCAAATAACGAGACATTTGTATGTACTGTCTGCCATGTAGTTTTGTAATACGTGGGTACTGTAGGAAGTCTTGAAATGGATAAGAGTTTTTGGATAATTATATATGTTTCGAATGAAGTGTGCTACAAACCAAATAAGTGCGATTGTCAGTGTTCATGTTATTTTCATACATGTACGAGGGTTGTTCGAAAAGTTCGTGGACGATGGACACAGTATCACTACTTATGAAATTGCGAGTGAAAGACAAAGATAATAAAATCATTTTTGTGAAAATCTTTAAATACTTAAAGTTTTCTACTTTATTTTGATACAGAAATGTCAATACAGTGTTGTCACTTAAACATGGAAATAAATGTACATTTATCCATGCATGATTCTTAAAAGTCTCAGATGGATAATTATATATGTTTCGAATAAAGTGTGCTACAAACCAAATAAGTGCGATTGTCAGTGTTCAGGTTATTTTCATACATGTATATATTGTATCCAACAATATCAAAAAGATATTTCCGAGTATGCTATGATTTCTTACCCCTTGGCTTTGATCTTCAAGTTTGATCTAATTTTCAAAAAAAAAAATCCACTTTGGTGATATATTATGATTGACATATAATAGGGCGTTCATATTGGACACAATATGGCTACATGTATTAACAATCACATCTCGCCCACGAGGGGTAAGAATTCATAGCCTGTTCGGAAAAATCTTGTCACAGGTGATGTACATGTCAAATATAAAAGCCATATCTTTCCTCAATCAAAATTAAAAAAAAAAAAAAGGAAAAAATACCATTTTTGAAGGTCAATTGTCAACGTTCAGTGTCATGTGGTCAAATTCATAATGTATCTAAAAGGGTCATATCACAGATTATATACGTGTGACGTGTAAAGTCCTATTTTATCTCATTCAAAAGTTATGATCAAGGTTAAAGTTTTTAAAAAAAGTAGGTACAATGTAAAACTTCAAGGTCATGGCCATAAGGTAAAAAATCATAGTATATTAAGAACGATTTTATTACAGGAAAAACACATTTAAAATGAAAGCCCTGCTACCTTCTTTTATTCAAAAGTTATGGTCAATTTAAAGTAATGTTAACATTTTTGAAAAGTGGGCTGCCCAATCTTCAAGGTCAGAGGGCCATAAAACATAGTGTGTTGAGAAAGGTCTTGTCACGGGTAATACACATGTGCAATATCAAAGTCATATCTCTTCTCATTCAAAAGATACTAAATTACTCGGGTTAAAGTTTTTGTAAGAGGTGGACAGACAGACTGACGAACGTACATACGAATGATCGAGATTTAAAGCCCCCTCGCCTTCGCGAAAGCGGAGAACAGAAATAAAACACCTACCCCACATACACTGTACATGTACATACATACTCAGTACCATTGCTATCATTTCATATATAGACCCCTTCGTCCTCTATTGCTTTATTTTTCATTGAATATTCATACTACATCAGACTTATACTGTTATAAGAAAGAAGAAGTATTTTTTTGTTCTTTGCAGTTACATGTACATATTCTGATGAAATCCACACTGTAAAAAAATGTGTTTAGATGATTAGACACTTTCCTAAGTACATTCTTGTCACACTTTTTTTATACATTGAAATTCAAATTTTATTAAAATATGCTCCTCGCTGGCTGAAGTTGTATGAAATTTTTCACATGTTTGATACCTATTATTGTGCTACTTTTATTGAACCTCATTTAACCACTATAAAGTACTGATACCGATATAGATATTATTAATGACATTCTATATAATGTACTCCTTTCTAGATTTCAGAAATTTAAAATATAATCGAAGGGAATCTTGATCTACAACTACATGTGTAACCGCATGTCTATTTACGTAGCCCATCGTGGTCAATTTACCACAGGTATGTAAAATAAAAATGATAGTAATCATACCTTTTATCGTAGTAATGTCTCTTCATGATTACCACTTTGATTAGCATTCACTTCCTTTAATCCATCTTCTTTAGATATTACATTAGCATTTTTCTTTCAATTGTTTCGATAAGCGCTCTATTTATCATACGAATTTATATGCGTCATTTCCGGGAAGATAACTCTGCACTTCACAGAAATGTGTTCAATTTCTAAACACTTATATCTAAACATGTGTTTAAATCTACATGTAACATCTGATTTAGATATAACAGACGTTAAGACCTAAGTGTTTAGCCGTTAAACACAATCTTATACCTGTTTAGGTCAAAACACGGAACGGAAATGTTTATTTTCTAAGCGCATTTTTTACAGTGCATTGATCAGTAATAAAGGTAAAAAAAAAAAAAAAAAAAAAGAATAGCATTGGTCCCCGCTTTCGGTGTTTTTGTGGGTAAGATGTCATTATTTATTGCATATTGTGTCAAATATGAAACTTCAAGATCTTAGAGTTAAAAAAAAAGGGTTGTCACAGGTAATGCACGTGCATGTGTAATATATGAAAGTCCCATCTCTTCTAATTCAAAAGATATCAATTACTAGTAAATTAAACCAAGGTTAAAGTTTTTGCAATTGTGACAGACGGAGATACAGCTAGACAGACGCACAGACGACTGAGATTTAATGTCCCATCGCTTTCGCAAAATAATTTTATAATTTCATAATTTTAATGTTTATGTCCGGATCATTGATTTGACCCATATGTACTCTTGACAGAACACGAACTATTTAACTGCGCCATTTCTATTTTCCACGTGACATTGTTTACACATTTTTTTAAATGTCGAGTCGGCAAACGCAGGGCAGATAGAGAAAGAGAGATATTTCACCTGTGCCGAACGCTAAGTTACGAGAACTTTCTGTATCAAAGATGGCCGATAAACAACGAACGATCGTCGTAGCGATGGATGGAAGCGAACATGCTGTGAATGCATTCAAATGTAAGTAATAAGTACGTAAATATACTAAGGTGAATGTGCATTATTATGCATGTGTATTGTAAATCCCTATGCCGTATAAATACAGTGGCGTTTGCCTTCGATCAATCCGTCTTTTCCTCGACTGTATTCGCTGTTTCGACGCTCTCTTTGCGACTTTTAGTCGAGGCAAAAAACTGAAATATTGCTGCGATCAATTTTTTGACATGTGACGAGTACGTAAACAATGTAACGGGGGAGGATCAAAGTTCTTCTCAAGCCACGCTCTTAGATCGCAACTCAGTCTTCCGGAAAGAATTTTTGGTGAAATGGCCCTATTACTTCAGGGAAGTCGAATTAACAGCTGGAATTTGATATTAGTCTAACATGCTTAATGTTCAATTTTTTTCAACAATCATGGTGTGATGTTACTTTTTTTTGAAAACGTAGAAACAATGTACACAGTGTATGGGAAATAAGATCCGTGAACATGTTACATTTTAAGTATACATAGGGTGTGTGTGTGGAGGGGGAGGGGGGGGGGGTGGGTGGGTAGACGTTTGATATATTGGTGTTGGTCTTCCCCTGTAGTGTTTAAAAAATAATGTGATTTATTGTTTCATAGTACGCAAAAAAGTATGAAGATATTATTTAAAAAAAAAAAAAACTGTCAAAATGCACACTTCCACAAATTCAGTAAAACATTTGTACCTTCTATATATATATATATCTCCCGTAGATTTAAAGTGTTATTATTTTATTGCAGTCATGAGTATATAACAATTTCATGTAATTGCGTTTTGCATTTGATGAATGTACGAATTGCGCATATATTAAATGCATGCTAGACTACTAACAGAAAATTGCAACTTTGCAATTTTATATCCTGTTTGGATTTGCAAAGCGGCGAATTACAAAATTACAACAATTTCCCAGCTGACTAAATGCTTTTCAGCATATACATGTATTTCCCTATAAAACGTTTACATGCCGCGATCAATAGATATATTTTTCAGTAACAGGAACATATGTGCATGTGGTTTATGTTAGCACAAATGATCCTGTCTATATTATTAGAAAGCTACATTGATTGAACAGTTATTTTCAATATGGGTTGCCCTCTGAATTTGCTCTACAATTACAATGTATCGGCCTATATCAGCCAATCGATTGTCATTACGGTCCTCTCCATGTTGAAATAACGATCTTTAACCATTCTACAGTATGCCCATAGATAACCAGGAAGATTCTTAATAAAGTCCGATTGTATATTTGGTAACCAAGGTATGTAAATCTAACGCAGTGCCAGTAGGTGTTCCAACATCCATTATTATCAGCATTATGTAACTTGTGGTAAAAGGAATTTGTTCATGTGTCCAGATTTCCGTTTAGATAACAGAGTTCTGATAATGCATGTGCTCACAATCTCCATCGAATAAAAAATAGAAAAAAGAAAAATGAATGTTACAAAAATACAAGTAAACATCATTTGTCAGATCTATATGTCCATGTATCAAATGACGCCCCATCAAGGAAGGTTAAAATTAAAGTACATAGATTGATAAACCATCACCTGGCACTCTTTCTCATTCACCTCTTAAAAAAAATTTCCTCTCATTATTATTCCAGTCACAACTTAAACTTCTATTTATATACTTGGAGAATATCAGCCGATATCTTCTTTAGCTTGCTACATATTTACCCGACAAAAATAAAATTTGACCAACCAAGCATACGTTCCCGATGGACAGTTGATATATATTTAAAATTGGATACATATATTCTTTTGATCTGTCACGAATCTAAATCTATTTTTCTGTCTTCCAGGGTTTTGTAAATCTATTAAGAGAGACGATGATCAGGTGGTAATGGTATACTCCGTGGAAGTCTACGACCCTATGTATGCAACGCAATGGTTTAATGGTATGTAAAAAAAAAAAAAAACTAATTCAGAACGCATTAATGCAAGCTAAGCAAAAATAAAGCAAGGATACACATATTTTGCATACACACTCGGGATTCGCCACTGTAAATATTGTAGTCCCATTTGATTGAATCAAGATTTAACAGCAACAGCTGTTGGAAGAAGATTTATTTACTCCATACATTGTTCAATATGTTTAATGCTTTCTCTAAAAAAAACAAGCTTGTGTCAGAGATATAAAATCAAGTCTGGAATTCTTCTATTCGTTCTCGATTTGATAAGTTGAGTTTCAAATATGTTATGCCTTTTAATGCATTATCTTCATAATTTTATCCACATTCTTTAACTTTCAGTTCCGTATTCCGTGGACAGAACAGCTTTGAAAGCAATGTTAGAAAAACACGCAGAAGAAGTCAAAAAGAAGTTAGAACAATTTGCAGAAATCATGAGAGCTGAACATGTAAGCTGGGGTTACTATCTTATAAAAAAGATACAATTTCATAAAAGTCTTTTCTGCTTTGTTCATTTGAATTTTATGAAGGTTAGGAATTTAGTATTGATAGAATTAATTCACTTTTGTTAAATGGAAAGTTAAGAATATTCCTCCTTAGAAATAGAAATGGAACTTTATGGGGAAGTCAGCTTTTAAAGAAGACTCCTGTTTATTTCGAAGTCAAAGGACATTTTTTGTTGAAATTTTGAAAAAAAAAAATTTAATAAAATCTACATTCTTTAAGTAAAAGGTTCTAGTTTGATTTTGAAGTCTTAAGGTTAAAGGTCATGGTCAGACATTAATTAATGTTAATTTGATTTAGAATGTTTTACAGATGGTATCTCAAGTTGACAGCTTTTTGGAATAAACTATAATAGAATTATAGATCTCGATAATGTAGGAAGGAACAATATTGGGGCCAAAAGATAAGAGGTCTAAGTCATTTATATTTTCTCTCTTCAATGCCCTTTTCATCACTTACTTGGTCATTAAATTTCTTGATTCAATAAGCTTTTCTTGAGATTTTCATTTACACGATAATGTATTTTTTTGCGGGGACTTAGCAATGCTGATCGATTTCTTCATCTGTAATTAAGTTATCCATCTTTCATAAACCTGTCATGGCTTTGAGGAAATCACAGCTGATGCCTTATCAATAATGTATTTTTCCCTTGTTAAACATCTAGTTATTCGTTTTATTGTCTTTTCTTGGCATAAAATACTGTGTTTTTGAAATTCTGCCTTCCTGTATTACTTCTTAATACATGTAATTAGGCAAGAAAATAATTTTTTCTTGTGCGTACACAAGATATTTTCATTTTAGGATAATGATTTAAAATAGAAACATATTCTAATTACTTGATAATCAAATTTTAAGAAACATTTAATTTCTAAGGGGATTTTAAATTTTTTAAATTAATTTCATGATTTACACGATAGTAAGCCTTTAAAAAAAATATCTATGCTTTTGAAAAATATCATAAAGCGGAATATTTTCCTGCAAGCATCATTAAGAATACAAAGAATAAAAAATGAATAAAGTTTGTTTACATATAGATATTTAGATGGAGGACGTATATTTTCAAATATCTATGAAACTTTAATTTTAGTTCCCTGACTCTCATAAGCTTCTACAGTACTATATATGTAGCTCATTTGATTTAAAAAAAAAACGAATTAAAATTCTCTGGATTATGAATGTTTATCTGCCTTTTATATGATGTCTTTTCTGAACAATTTCCTATCTTTATGCTTTATAACACCTTTAACAATACACTAAGGCTACAATAATGACTTTTCTTTTTAAGGCTTCTGGTAAGGTTCGAAGCACACACGCCGAAAAACCCGGTGAGGGAATCCTGAAAACTGCCAAAGACCTGAACGCCGATATGATCGTCTTAGGGACCCGGGGAATGGGGACCATCAGGAGAACAATTCTGGGCAGTGTCAGTGACTACGTCCTACATCACTCCCCAGTCCCAGTTATCATCTGTCCCCCCAAGTAAAGTAACGTGCAATAGGACCACCACAAGGTTTTAGTCATAATTGACTTACATGCATTCATGCTGTGAGATCAACAAAGGGCAGACAATTCAAAGGGAATACTTTTATATGTTTAGAAATATTATTAATGGGTAAAAATTGTAAAATTATTGAAGAGGATTTCGATTTGGAATGCTGTTTAAAGGTTTAGGTGCATTGTGTGATGAATGAAGCATAATAAACGTTGTTGTTTCGAATAGAATTGTCATGTATTAAATATATCAGGTACTACATTTATAGTTATAGAGTATTGTGTGGTAATATAATCCTAGAGTTTTTGTACTGCAAGTTGTGGTGTAACATTATGCATTTGTTTATATATGTGTTTGAAAAATGAAATTTTGATTTTAGATCAGTTGACACGTCTCTTAAAAATATATAATTTTACTTCAATAATTTGTAATTGAATAATTGCTACTTTAACAAGTTTATTTGGAAAAAAACATAAAAGGTACTTTTAATATATTTTCAGTCATTTGTGCTAGATACCAGTGGGTAGCTAGTGTTTCCTACCTAATTCTAATGGAAAATACTGTACACAAAGAATATTTCGTCCAGTTTTATTTTCGCCCCTTTCACCATACTTACAGGTGGGCGAATTTAAAACGAGGTGAATTCAAAGCATACCGTATAAATTCTGTAACTGGATGACAAGGAATAAAAAGGGGGAAAATTGCTTATACATGTAAGTGTGAAGGTGCGAATATAACCTTATATACAGTTACTGATTGCTAATTTAACAATTTTTTTTACATGCTATTCCTTTTTAATACATTTTGAGAATTGTTTATAAATCATAAGAAGGTGATGAAAAATGTCTGAAAATATTTTTATATATATTACCATAAGAATATGAAAAGATACAAACAGATATTCTTGGAACGTGTCGTCTGACTTCTATTTGAAATGCAAAATATTGGTTCATTTGTGTTTCTTTAAAAATAATGACATTTTAATGTCTTTTTTCAATATTGGAAGTTTTATTTAAGATCTGATTATTTTGGATGATATGAATTACTTGATTCGTTTTTTTGTTTTGTATTTATATTGATATCAGGTTCAAATCTTAAGTTAAAGATTCCTAAACCGAGTTTTTACAAAAAAGTATTTTGAAATACGAGAATTATTAAGCGTACCAAACTGTTTTTATGTTAATCATCAGATAAATGTCAGTAATGTTTTATAAAACAAAAACTTTTGTTATCTAGTATATTTTCCAATAATCTTTTTATTGTTAAATGCATGACAATATAAAAAAGATGTATAAAATTATACAGAATATGTTCATGTATGAATATAAAGAATGAACAAAAATAGCAGAAAATTGAAATGAGGTAGGATTTACAATGATTTCATATGAAAGATAAAATACGAGTATAAAATAAAACAATGATATTCCTACAATCAAACAAACGTTACTGTAGCATTGTAAAGCAATCATGACAATTTAAAAACATGAGATTCTGACTAAAAAGGGTATTACTAACAGATTACACAGCTACATGTATCAATGGGGACTTGGGAGAAATTTATATATATATACAAGTAGAATAATAAATACTTGAATAAATATAATTTGTGTAACAGTAACATTTAATCTGATGCCTAGCTAAGACTGTCGTTCTCATGGATTTACCCAAACTTAAACTTAAAATGTTCTCATGGATGAGTTTTTTGTCTTAGCATAAAAATCAAAAAGTTGCAATGCCAGGACTCCATATTCGGTATATAATTCCATGGTATGGTAGTCGAACCACCTACGAATCGGAGAGCAAATCTAAAGTAACATGAACCGATTCTCCTGATTCATTGACACCCTTGCATGTTATCTCCTCGTCGCCAAAACTTAAAGACACCGTGACCTTTCTTTCTATCCCATAACCTGGCATGTCAAGCAGCATATTTCCGATCTGTGAGCAACTCTCATCGGTAACGTACCGAGGATTCGCTTCACTAGATCTATATACCCTTATCTTCATCTTTGTCATATCGACTTTGTGTGCAAAGACTTCAGTGTCTGCTGTTTCACCGACTTCAAAAGATTGACCGACTTCTGCAAGCTTGTTGAAAACATTTCTGCAGTATGGTTTGCCATCTTCCTCTATTTTGTTTGCTGGGTCATCGAAATCCTCAAGAAAATATCGAATAACGGCTGTTCCATAGGTATACTTGGATATTCTTGATTTAATCACTGACGGCTTTTGACCAAATATAGCAGCACCTCGCATAACTGCAAGCCATGGTTCGTCTGGGATGAAAACTTGAAGATTACTAAATTCGTTTGCTATTTCAGTTCTCATAAACTCTGATTCTGCAAACCCGCCGACAAGAATAAGGTACTTAATGTCATGAGCTTCAGGTTTCGCTAGCAGACTTTTAGTGTGCTTCGTAATATTATCCAAGCATTTCCTGAAAAAAGTTTCCACGATGGATTTGTCTACTCTAAGACAATTTCTTTTGATGTCAATTTTCCCAGCGTACTTTGATTCAAATGCAATGGCGTTTAGAAGTTTCTTGTTATTCTTTTTCTCATACACCTCTTGTAATTCGGCAGGTATTTGGAAAAGAATTCGCCCATCTTTGTCTCCTCTTGTAGTTTTCTTCTTTGACTCGACCTCCCTCTCTAAATCTAACCAGGAGGCTTTATGATTTGTTTTTAATTCATCAATAACATCCTTCCCAACTAAGCTCTCCAAAAAGGCCATAAATTCTTTATTAACCGCTAGCCCTCCCCATGGTCCACCGGAGGCGTGAAGAATTTCTTTGACCGTATTCTCGTCCGATATCTCTTTCAGCGTAATGTCAACAGTTCCCCCTAAAAGATGTTCGTCATAATTATGTTATTTCGTAAAATAAAAAGGATACTGCATTCAAATGAATTGAATTGTTTTTAACTTACTAACCTCCAAGATCAAGAACAATAAATCTGGTCCACTTTTCAAACGACGGCGACCGTTGTTGACTTGAACCGTGAGACCTTTGTATAAGGATTTCTTTGGCGTATATAGATGCAGCCTCGGGTTCCAAAGCAAGTTTTATTCTATTCCTCGGTATACCAGCCTGTAGTAATTAATATAGAGTCAAATCAATGCAACTTCTTAAACACTATTAAGGGAGTTGAAAATAGTTTAAAATGTCAAGTATATGCATGTAACATCAAACATTCATTTTGCTACATTTCTATATTTATGATATGTTTTCTTACAATCAATCATATTTAATTTCATTGCTAAAGATTTTTTAATACTATTTATGCATCTGAGTTTGTTTATTTATTGATAAACGTCCCCTCAAGAATCATTTTTAAATCCTGTGAAGACGCGCCACTTGCTGATGGATGGCTACAAATTTATTTCTGCTCGGCACTGAGATCCATTGGTACGTGAGGGATCTTTTCGTGCCAACACCTACTGCGACACGAGGGGCCTCGATTTATTCGATCTCATCCGAAGGACCGGTCTCCACGTCCCCCCGCATCGTAGGGATCAATTTCTTACTTCGTGACTCTAGAGCAGACGATCTAAATACTGAGCCACACAAGCGACTTTATGCATTGGGAGCCACAATGTTTAGACTAAACACAAATAAACCTTAGTTGCTGCCTCTCGCGTGAACTGCTTGGCGGCATCATTCCATATGGCAGGGACCGTAATCACCCATCTGATGTGCTCTTCTCCAATCATATTTCCCCTGGACTTCAATTCATCTAAAAGACGGTCTTTCATGAAGGTGATACTGTGCGCAAAAATGTCTTTGGCTTGCATTGCATGTCCTTCATCATCAACGAGAACTGTGTCATTCCTCAGAGTCTAGGAAGTTTTCAAAAAGATATGTTTGTATGCACCACGATTAAAAATAACATATCTTTAAGCATATTTAGATAATACAATATAAATTAACATTGCATTTATTTTATTTTGTGTTCTGAATTTTAATGTTTTTGTGGGATTGAGCAACAGATCATACTGTTCAGAAAGAATTACTAACAGTGCATAGGTATTTCTTTTGAAACAGTTTAATACTGTACTTTATTACAGTCTTATAGATAATAAAGCTATAAATAAGTACAAATTTATCATAATGACATATTTTCAAAGCAATTTAGAAGTATCATATATTTATTGCTTTAATAAAGCTATTTTTTGTAGATCTATTTACGATTAACCTATAGATACATCAATTTATATTTACAAATGTTAAATATAAAATGATGTATCTACAGGTTTAGTTGTTTTAAAACATGTACAAGAAACCGTACCTCATTTTCATACAACATCATTTTGAAGTTTCTGAAGAAATAATAACCAGATTGAACATTGTCGTCTGCCAGCTCACTGTACTGTTCTTCTGCCTCGTATCCAAATGCCATCATTTCTTTATTTGATTTTAGAAGCAAAGCAGTTGGTGTTTTGTAAGTGGCCTGCGAAGGACCAACCATACTTGACCATTGAAGACTGTTGATTCGAAGAGGATATTTTTCAAATTCGGCCACAAAAGACCAAGCAATTCCAGAGTAAGTTGTTCCAAAGTCCAGGGCTGCCACAAGGACAATTTCGTCAACAGATGTTTCCTCCATTTTCGAACAAATGTTAGTGACATCACATACTGTTGATTCTTTTACCTGGGTGGCCATTTCTTGTCAGTTTCAATAGAAGCTTCTACACCCAACTTTTCTAAATACATCACAAAAGTCATGTGCAATGCAGATGTATATGATAAACATGCATAAATAATTTTGGATAATAAAGTGGTTGAAAAACATACATCACTGATGAAAAAGACTATATTTCATTATCTCTGTCATTGAGAAAAAAGTTCAACTGCAATGATATTTGAACAAAACTAAAATTCAAGTTATGAATGACAAAGCAAACAAAATTCAGTTAAACATACATAATGCAGATAATGCAAGATTAGAACTCAAGAGTTAGATAAACCTTACTAATATGTTTCTTACCTATATGAAAAAAAGACTGTAAATCTTGTGAACTGATATCTTGTAAACTATTATCTCCCTTCCTAACCTGATTACATTGTTCATCATTGCATACAATATGAATATAAATATGTGTATTTATATAAAAGAAGAAGATTCTCAAAGGCTATCTAATTAAATAATACCACTCCATCAAAATTAGCTAAGCACAGTTATCGGTGATTAACTACACAAATCATATAACACTTCAGGTAGCACTAAATGCCTGTAAAATTGACTTAGATCGTGGAAATAGCGTGATTGAAAGTATACAGCTTTTGTCATTTTTAGCTCACCTGAGCCGAAGGCTCAAGTGAGCTATTCTGATCAAAATTTGTCCGTCGTCTGTCGTCGTTGTCGTTGTTGTCGTTGTCGTTGTCGTAAACTTTTCACATTTTCATCTTCTTCTCAAGAACCACTGGGCCAATTTCAACCAAACTTGCCACAAAGTATCCTTGGGTGAAGGGGATTCAAGTTTGTTCAAATGAAGGGCCAAGCCCTCTTCAAAGGGGAGATAATTATGAATTAGGGAAAAATTAATGCCATTTTAAAAAAATCTTCTTCTCAAGAACCACTGGGCCATGATAGATGAAACTTATATGGAATCATCCTCAGGTAGTGTAGATTCAATTTTGTTCAAATCATGACCCTCGGGGGTAGGGCGGGGCCACAATGGCCGACCAAAGTTTTACATAGAAATGTATAGATAAAGTCATTAAAAATCTTCTTCTCAAGAATAACAAAGCCATGAATGGTCATATTTATATGGAAGTATCTTCCGGTAGTGTAGATTCAAGTTTGTTCAAATCATGACCCCCGGGGGTAGGGTGGGGCCAAAATGGCCGACCAAAGTTTTACATAGGAAAATATAGGAAAAATCTTTAAAAATCTTTCTCTGAAGAACAACTGGGCCAGGAAAGATGAAACTCATGTGGAATCATTCTCAGGTAGTGTACATTCAAGTTTGTTCAAATCATGACCCCCGGGGATAGGGTCGGGCTAAAATGGCAGACCGAAGTTTTACATAGGAATATATAGGGAAATCTTCTTTTCAAGTACTTCAAAGCCATGATTAGTAATATTTATATGGAATCATAATGGTAGTGTAGATTCTAGTTCATTCAAATCATGATCCCGGGGGGGGGGGTAAAATTCAAGCCCCCCCCCCTCCCAACCTCGGTACACTTTCAGTTCTGATCTGATATGTGCTTTTTCCAAGTCGATGTGCTCAGGTGAGCGCTGTGGCCCCTGGGCCTCTTGTTATCTGTTACACTAAAAATCGTAGACAGTTGCTTCTTCAATAAAAATCAAATTCAAATACTGTAGCCTTAACAATTGATCTTTTGCAAAATTGATTTGATAAAAAATAATTTTTCACACTACAGTTAAGTAGTCAGAAGTTAATATTAAAAAGATGTATAAGTTTCTGATAACATCTATGCAATGTTTGGAGATCATGCAGGTCTTACAATCGGTTTGAATTCCAGGGAACCAATTGCACCCTTTATAGGCAAACTTACTTCGTATCCATATGAAGCAGAATCACAAGCTTCTTAAAAAGAACTAAAAACACTTGTTACATTTGGCCTTTATCTCGGCAATGAGATATAGCAACGACGTATTATCAATTAACAATAGTTACTAACATTTATATGTCCACTCGATATATTCCAGTGAACATAAAAATTGAGGTACTGTAAAGTGTGATCCATCTATTTTATATTTTGATATTTTACTAGACAAAAGTCGTTTTAAGCAACCTAACAAAAATCTTTATGATTACTGTGATACACGTAGCATTATTTTTTTTTCTAACGTCTAACGCCCTCGATCACCATTGTTTTGGGTTTATGTCTTTCAGTTGATTTGTTATGTGTAGCTTACTCTACGCTTGAAACCAAGCAAGTTATCGACAAACAAGATGAAGGACCATGGATATCAACAGCGTCGTTTAACTTTTAAACTCAGTCATCATTTGTAAGTTTTATAGTCGAAAAATGACTTTTGCAGCAGATACAATCAAACATCAAGTCAAATGCTAACTGGCGTTTTCATACACGTTGTTTGGTCATTACTTAAAACACTGAATTATCTACGGATCTTCTGTATTTTCCCGATCATGACCAGGAGCAGACAGATTGGCACCTAATCATACATCTGATGTTTTAAGAGTTAATAATTTGCTCAGATTCCTAAAAATTTTTCCATGGACTTGAATTCTCTTCGTTAACTCCATAAAATGGATAGGTGAAAAATTAAATATACATAAACATGATCAAAACGTACTGGTTTCATGTTTTAAAGATTTATAAAGCGTGTATATCAATGACAAATTAATTGTTTGAATCAGAGATTAATATGAAATGAAACTGCCCAATTAAAAGTAAAAAATTAACAATTTTTTTTATTTCAAGATCTATTCTGAAATCTGATATTTAAATATGTTAAACACAAGTGAAAGATTAAAGGAGTTCCGAGTTTCTTATTGAAGATCTCGTAGGTTATTTGTTGGTGGTTCTTGGACCGATATAACTACGTAATCTGTTGATTCTTTTTAATTTTTTACAATTCTCCGAAATACATGTATCTGAAACCCATGGTTCATTTTCCCTCATTTTGACAACAAACATTCATCTGTCATTCTACTTTCGTAATTGATAAAAAAATCATTGAAAATACGTTGCTCATTGTTTTTATGCTTATTACTGTTTATTGAGCATTAAATTAAAAAATAATAATACTTACAATATCATTAGGCTATGAATCCTAAGAAGTCTTTTACCCATATGACACTTTTGATTTAATTAACTTTAAAAGTCCCATCATTGGAAATCCACTTTCGGTTTTGCTTGTGACGTCGAAAACAGCTGTTATTTATGTCACAGAGAATTTTAATTTTGTAAATTGAAAAGAATTATATAATTTCTACCCTAATATGAATTCTAATGAAAAAATATTAATTTTCTGTACGATGTATATTTTTCGAATTAAATTGATCAGAACACAAAACTTGGTAAAAGAAAACGAAACTAGGAGTATACATAGAGAGACAAAAAACCCTTTATTGATTTTTTTCTTTTAATCTCATCACGGTTTGTTGATAAAACTGTTCAATACACTTCTCTGACAAGTATGATTTGACCAAGGAAACTCCATACACTTTTAGTATCTTAATTTTCAGACGGAAACTATAAGGTTATTATGAATCTGGTTAACGAGCTCTGATATCAACAAACACCCGTGTCATCTAAGTTTTGGCTAAGAAGATGTGAATTTTAACTATACACTAAACTTTTCAATGCCTTCAGAATTAAAATCTACATAAATCACAAACTATGGATTTCTTTTTTGGACATATTTCTTTTACAACTTAAGATATCATCAGGTATATGAAAAAATATATGAACATATTTTTGTTTTTGTAAAATGCAAATAACTCATACATGTAAGGTCGTGGATTAAGTATTTTTCAAACATTTATTTCGATACACTTTTTTTTTTTGAGATGTGGAGATAGCGATGGTTACTCAATTCAATGTCAATTGACACAATATAAAGTCTAAGCAAAGCAAACAAGAACCTTATAAATATCTGTTGGGGACGCAGCTACTATGGACGTTGAAGCATCCTCTGTCAACCGATCATAATTGTCATCATCATGCACACGTGGAGATCTGACCCGTAAACAACTCAGTGTGAAATGTATGACATCAATGTATGACAACAAAAAGTATAAACTTTTATCGTTTATTTCGGGAGGTTTTTTAATTTCAAATTACTCGAATTCTACCTCAAATTGTCAAAAGCTGATTAATACCAATACTTGAATAGTTGTAAAATATATAATATTCATAGAGTATCTACTGCACTGCTATAATGGGGTTTAACCTGGTTATTTCGGGCAGCTTAATTTTTTACATACAAAGATAGATAACTCTTTTCTTAGTTTCTTAACGTAGTTTTTGTCAACATTTCCCTGATGCTTGTCATGAGCCGCATTGTGTGCGAGTTGCACATTTATCATTTTCAATGCAATTTGCATTTTTTTTCAATATTTCAATCTTAGGGCGCAATTTGTGCCTTTTACTTACCAATTTAGTTATTTGGTGCAATTTGTACTTAATTTGTACAGGATTTTTTCTATTATTGTTACTCTGGGCTGAAAAATCGCCGCCCCAATTTTAGTTTGAGACGAATGGGTCATGCGACTATGTCCCTTGACCCATTTGGCATAATACATATATTTTGGTGCAAATTTGTACCTAATTTATGCGCCATTTGTGCTGTTGTTACTTTGGGCCGCAAAACTGCCGCCCAAATTTTAGTTTTTGGCGGATGGGTCACGTGACTTTGTCCCTTGTTCCATTTGGCATTATTTTGCAAAGAATGCTGTCTCCGGGGACTACTGTTTTTCCAGGCTCCTTGCATCAAGACGGTATTTCTCTTGGCTATTATCCATTTACCTATGCTACCATATTATCATCATCAGCGCATACATTGTGTTATATCTAATATATTATGAAAATGGCCATGAAAAGCACGCCAAAACAAGTAAAGTCTTGTTTTTATTGACTGTATTTACAGATTTCTTAATCCTTTCACTGTGGATTAATCTGACCAAGTGTGTTTCTGTTATTGTCTAGGTATACAATGTCACGAAATAATAGAGTTTATCCA